CACGGCGGCTGCCCCCTTTAGACCCATGGGCATTCGTACATATCGATACTGAGCTGTGGGCGTGGCAAATGCCGTACGCTCCTTAGAAGCCTCGTCCGCCATCGGGACTTGCCAGTAGCCCGACTTCAAGTCCAGGCTGGAGTAGTAACGAGTCTCGCCACCCGGAGGTGCAGCAATATCCAAAATATCCTGGATGTGGCCTATCGGAAACCGGATGTCCTTAGTGACGTCGTTGACCCTCCGCATATCCACACAGGGCCGGAGTTCTCCGTTTTTCTTGGGAACGACTACTACTGGAGACACCCAAGGACTGTTGGACAATTCAATGATCCCGTCCTGTAGCATCTGCCGCATCTCAGCATCAACGGCGGCTTTCTCCGTTCGTGACAGACGGTAAGGATTCTGCACGATAGGAGGATGATCTCCCGTGTCCACCTTCATGGACACCCAGGACGTACGCCCTAGCTCTCGGTTGGTTAAGGCGAACATGTCAAAGTTGTCAGTCAAACATGCGACCAGCTGCTGGTGGTCGAGGCACTGAAGATCGGTGTTTACTTTGCTGCTTAGCAACTCGCGTAGCTCAGGGGTAGGGCTCTTGACTGGCCGAACCGCACGGGCTACCAACCCGCGAAAATGAGCCTCCTCTAAATGTCCGTCATGATCCAAGCCGTCTGGGGCAAGGGCAGCTGGCATGTTCGCATCAAACTGTGCTGCCGCAGCATGGCTGTGGGTAACGGAAGCACACTCCTCAGTTAGCAATCGTGGTAACAGGAGCTATCGCGAACTTAAGACGGGAGTAGTTTCAGGAAAAGAACGGAATGGATCCGCAGGGGTCGATATTGGCGGTCCAGGTCCGGAGTGCGAGTCATTGTCGTACTCGAACTCATCTCCAGGCCAGACATTTGCCCGAGCCTCTTCACTGCCAGAACTGACGACGCTGTCGGTACTCCATGCATCCGCAGCCCATTCGCCGCTGGAGGCACTTTCCGACGGAATCTCGTCTGACCTAAGCACTTGCCGTACAAGTAGGCCGACGATGTGTTCCATGTCCATGTCCCCACGGGCTGTCGAATCACCATCACTAACCTCTCCGCTGTTTCCCTCAGGTGAATCAATGGTCTCAGGCGCGGAGCCTCTATTGATAGCCGCAGGTGACATCTGCCCTTGTGGCGTGGGCGCCTCAGGCCGCTGTATTGATGCCTCGGCCGTCAACATGGAAGCTGGTTGAGTGTCGTCTTGCTCAGGTGAGTCGTCCCAAAGCCGAGCAGACGGGGGAATATTAGAGCTGGGGCTCCGAAGAAAATGGATAGCAATGTTGGACCGCTGATCCCGGTCATTGGTGTATTCCAGGCGACTACTGTCGTACGAAATGCTTGCTCGTATTGGGTAGAGGAAGTCAGTGCCCAGGAGTAGCTGATAGTTGAGGGCGGTGCTGACGAACGGACTCAGCAGCATCGTTAGGTCGCCAGTGGACACTTGCAGTTCACTGACACGTCCAGCGGCCCGACCACGATTGCCATCCGCATTCAGGAACGTCACCTCCGTCTCCTCCATCAGGTGTAGAAGGTCTAAACGCCGTAGTGTGTCTCGTGTAACAACACTATGAGAAGCCCCAGAATCGATGACAGCAGGGACGGGAACTTGTCCTCCATGTCCATCAATTATCCATACGGTAGCTTTGCAAACTTGCCAGGGTGGTACGACGGCATCAGACTTCCAGGCGGGTATTGTTGAAGATGGTCGCTCTGAAAGAGAAGCTTGCATGGTGCCTGCCGCAGGCCTCGCTGGACCAAACATGGGGCCAGGCTGGGGGTTGCCAGTGTTGGTGTGCTGACGAGCCAACCCAAGGACTCGGCTGCCAACCTTCGTGTAGATGCTGATAGGGTTGCATCGTAGAGTTGTACCCAATGGTAGTGCATACTTGTTGACCTTATGAATGATGTCCTCAGCAATACGCCGTTCTTCTTCTTGTGGGTCCGCAGGGATCGGATCGCTGCGGCTGCCAGACTCAGCTACTCGTCGTCGGAGACGAGGTTCAGCGCTGGCAATGCCTCGCTGAGCTGGGACGGTACCTCCGGTTGCGGCAGTACGCTCTGGAGGTGGCGCACCCGGGGCTGCTGGCTCCTGTGGCTGATGAGCCTGGGTAGCCGTAGCCGGGGCATTCGGGGAAGCCAACGGTGTCACCACGGGTCGTACAATGCCTATACGCCCGGTAGTAGTAGGCTGAGGCGCATCCTGGCCAGGGTTAGCCGTTGGGCGCTTGCGGGGAAGCGGTATAGGCTCAAAATCGGCCACACGTTTGACATATGCAGCTGGTGGGGCAGCCGGCCGGAAACAAGAGTAGATGTCCGGATGCTCCATCTGGGAAAAATGTGGGTCTTCACGATGAGTGTTATCCCTTTCCCACAATTGTACATTAGGGTTGCGCTCCAGCAACAGGGTTAATCGTGACAACTGGCGGGCGATGTCGTCAACTCGTGACTCCAGGGGTTCATTCTCTGGGGGTGTCGAAACCTTAGGTTTTGGGCGACTCTGCCAGGGAGCATTCCCAGCGGGCTTCTGCTCTGGTTGCCGTGGTCCCATGGGACGTTGTGTAGCCACTGGAGTTCGGGGACCATCCGGTCGTGAGCCGCTAGGGGTCGGGGAATCAGGCACATTACCACGAAGGTCGCCATGACGGTTTTCCCAGCGCGGGGTAGCCCGAGAAGGATGGCTGTGGAAATCCATATCGCGTGTGCGCTGAGGGGGAAACGGTTCGTAGTGGCCAGCCACATCCTGGCGGTCCAAGCCCTCGTTGATATAGATGGCGCATCGTACGGCGTCTTCAAAGCTAGATGGGCGCATGAGGAAAACCTTGTTGTAAACCTTGAGTTGTAGTCCTTGTAAGAAGTTATGCATGTGGATGGGGTCGTGTTGCGTGTCCACGCCCAGTTGTGCAGCTAGGTCGCGGTAGCGGTCAGCGTACGTCCGTACAGCTTCGCCCCGTTCTTGCCGACAATGAGCTAATCGGCTAAACAACTCTTCTTGGGTCGGATCGAATCGTTCCAGAAACGCGGCTTTAAAGCTAGGCCAATCGGGGAGAGACGCTTCCATGCCGGCTTGCCAGCAGATGGCCTCATCTCCTAAGCGGCAGATGGCGACGTCCAGCTGAGCCTCTTCACTCCAGCCGTACATCCGACCACATCTCTCAACCCTGGCGACCCATTGCCGAGCACTGTCTCCCAGCCGGAAGATAGGCACAGACGAGACGCTCGAGGGATGGGGGTGTGTGATAAAGTGAGATTGATGCTGGCTCTCCATGGCGTATGAGACGTACAACCAGTGGGACGCCTAGCAGACTGTTCGAAAGTAGCTAGAGACAGGGCTGAAACCTTAGTCTCGATACCAGCCGCGCCGCGGCGGGCGGCACCCAGCGGCAGCCCAAAAATATTTTCGCGTTTGGGGGAACCGCTGGATGGACACACCGGGGCGCCCAGGATCGTTTATAGAAAGGAATCGATACCAGTAGATTGTCTTAAGCGAGATAGGATCGAGATTTGTGTGCGCGAGCGGAAGCAGAATCAGAGTTTTGTCCTGAGACCGTAGGCCCAGGTGTGGTTGTGAGCCTGATGTGAGCAGAGTTTTACTGCCTCTTGGCCACTAGGCCCAATGTCAGGTTGGAACCTGGTTGGCTGTTGACAAGATAAAATGGGTGGGAGTCATCCACGCCAAGTGAAGGCGATATCCGTTACAAACTGCCTTGGCCGGTGCGTCCTGCTACCGTGCGCGGGAGTTGTATGATTGGAATATCCCTTAGAAAATATTGGTCAGGCCGCGCCTTATATATGGCAAACGCGCCCGCCATTCGTACAACTGTCGTATGGTCAACGTAAGACGCAGGTACCCTTTTGCGCAGCAACTGCCTCATTACGCAACGGTAGCTACCAGTTTACGCAGCTCCGGGCCAGGTTCATGGCGGCCAACGGAAACTGACAGGAAACTAGTACAGGATATTTGTCATAGAACATTTCTCAGACCGAAGCTAGATCGTAAGACACAAGCCGCCTGCTTTAACGTCGCCAGATCGAAACATACATTTGTCAGGCTTTATGCGGTGCGCCGTAAGTATATGACCGTTCTCAACGCGTTTATAGTTTCTAATTAATGATATGGCAGTAGTCGGCCTCCTGCTATGCCCGGAACAATACGCAACCAAAGCCGTCAAACTCAGTTCTCTATGACCAGCTGGAGGTCGCTACAGATGCAATGTTGACGGGGGCAATTGCCAAGTACAAGTCCTCCGCTAGGATGCACCTCTACACGCACATCGCCGATAAGGTCGAGAATATCCTTCGCGACCCGCGCTTCAACCGCATGCGGTCGGCTTTGCGAGAATGAATAGCTCGGGGGGCGACACTAACTTCATGGCGCAAGAACTTGCCTGGCGACGAACCCTTGTCTTCCCCCCCTGTAAAACGATCGGCCTGCAATGTGTACGGACCGTGGAGCCCTGAAATGCTGTTGTTTTTGACGCCGGAAGGCGCCAAAATGTTTTTCTTTAGGTTTATTGACCGAAATTATGCCCTCCCGTAGCCGTA